CGCGCGCACACTACGCCTAACAAAAAAAAATCCTGCTTTTACTTGCCTAAAATCCAGATTTATTCTAACTTAGATCAAAATTTCACTTACTGTTATTCACAGTGAATTTGCATTTCCACACTTGCATTCAAGAGGGAATGGATTAAATCAATTTGTTAGTGGAGTAAGTACAGATTCAATTCAGCACAGAACAGAAATTTCTTCAGTAACAGAATATGTCACTGAGATTTAATAAGGATAAGGATCCCCACTAAATTTAATAGATATATCATATTAAAGATATATATCATTAAGTAAATCAGTAATTTGTATTTTATGATTAATATCTAACAGGTAACTCAAAACAGTCTTGAAGCCAGATGCCAATGCCTGAAGAAAATAAGTTGAAAGTCCATTTATAAAATAACTACAAATTTTACTTAAAAATGAAATATTTTTCAAGAAAAACAGTCTTTACATGTAGGATTTGGAAACTATGCTATATTACTGAGAGAAAAAAATAGATAAAATTAGTCTCTAATATAATGCCATTTAATGGAACTACATCAGAGATGTTCTTTCACCTAGAGTCTCCAAATAGAATTCTATGTAAAAATTAAAAAACTATCACTTGAGTATAAATTGACTTGAATCCCTGCTTAACTACTGTTTAGACCTTTATACATATCAGAGTTTGCACATCTTGCTATTTTTTGTAGGAAAGAACTTTATAAAAACGGAATAATCTGTTAACCAACTTTTTAATAATCCATCATATGCTACAAGTGTGTTAAAAATAGTTGAGCCTGCATGGACATTTTTGAAAGTCTTCTATTAAACAGATAATTCTGTATATTTACATTCTGCTTTGTAAATGTACACTATTTTTGTAAATCTCTTAATCTGAGATTCAGATGGAGACATGTAAACCCTGTACCAGAATTCTACCACTATGTTCAACCCTTGAAATGTTATTAACGTGAATATGGTTTTAGGGGCTCCAATCAAAAAAGGATTTAGCCGGATCTTGTTTTTAAGAACCACTTGTTTCTGTTACTTATTTTTCACTTAAATCAAATTGTTGTTTGTGATCATTTTACTGATTGCTCTGGGAAACAGGAGATCACAAACAGTGCAGAGTTTCAAATTAGGACTAGGTAGAAAGAGTGTGTTCTTAAAAAAAAAAAAAATTGCCCTAAAGATATATCGGGGTGGGGAACCCCCTTAGCTATTTAGTTTTGAAACACTGTACAAAAATGACTCATCACTTTAGTCCCATTTTAAAGATGGAATCAGTTAAGCAGTTTTCTATAGACCACACAGAATCAGTAGCAAAACTAGGTTTAGAAACGACGAGTTCCTACCTCCTAGTGTTAACTATTAAATCAACAGGACTACTTGACCCATATAAAATCAAAAATTGTCTCAATTTTTAAAAAAAATTGCAACAAGACATTATGGAATCTTTCAATTAATGAGGTAATACAGGAACATAATATTAAGATGAGGTAATAATATTTGACCATACTTAAGGAACTGTGGAATTTTGAAGTGGTGACAGATCTACATTATATACACTTATCTTGAAAACAGATCTTCCATAAAAAATAAATAACCTTTCAATTTGTTTGTTTGTTTTTAAAAGACCAATGTCTTTACCCTGTCTCAAGGCAGGTGTGTATGTTTCCTTTTAAAATCCACATTACTATATACGCACAAGAAGATCCTTTAAGAAGAATGCCCTAATGAGTACTGGAATGCTCCTTTAAGGCACAATGGCACTACAAGGAGAAAGCAACTGGACTCGCTGCTGTATACTGAGAATCTCTTGAACTAGGGGTGCTTACAGACGTAGAAACAAATAAACAAAAACCCAGTGCTTTACTTTCACCATGTTATGCCACCACACCGAGCACAGCGCAAGAGGAATCACGTCAGTTTGACCTGGCTCCCCAGCATCTGCATACCTTGTGTGCTTCACTAGAGCTTTCTGGCGTTTATTTCTGGCTGACTGAATGATCTATTAGGTAAAAATGCCAAAAAACCCTGCTGAAGTGCATGAACTATACAGATGCTGGGGAGCCGGGTCAAACTGATGCAATACCTTTTCCAGTAAAGTGCTGTTTTGTTTTGTTCTGTTTTTCCATGGCTGTCAGCACCCTAGGGCTAAAATCCTGAGAATGGCTCTGTAAATGCAATTTCTACAGAAGCATTCAACCTCTCAGGTTCTGGTCCCAAGTTTGGGGATATAAACACCACTACTATCTACAGTATTAGTGAGAAGACTATTTCAATATTTATATCCCAGCAAAACAAATGAGCCCCCATGATTCTTTTGCAGTGATGTCATTAAGGTGACAACCTCACATTCAGGGCTCCCTGCTTCCCTTACGCACACAAAAGGATCTGTAGAACAAAACAAAAAACTAACAATACTTCCAAACCACTTGATATCTAAAGACACAGGGACAAAAACCAAGTGCAGGACATGATGACAGCACTGATAAGTAACCTATGAGTTCCATCTGACAAAAGATTTGATTAAAAGGCTTCTTTTAAAACAATCAAGCTACTTAAGAAAGAAATGACAACTAAATTTGTAGCAACTTTCCTCCATATGTTTTAATTAATTTTATGATTTTAAAGTGCTCATTGTGGCACAAAATGATCTCCTGAATAAAAAGAATTTTATGGAGAATGAGAGAGAATGGTCAAAAAATGGCAACACTGCATGAGGAAAACATTCAATTTTTTTGCTATTGTTAAGAGGGAAGCATAAGATGATTCTTCAAAACAAAAAATGTCCTTAAAATGGTCAGAAATAAAAAGTTTGGTTTTGTGGGGTATTTTTTAGCCATTCAAACTTAAAATCATGCGATTAATAAGGTGTTGATATAGGAGGGATCCTCTAACTCCCATTTTAGACTGTCATTTGTCAACTACTGTCATAGACCAGATTTTTCTTCAAATAATAATTCAATCATCTGAACATAGCAGTAATACAAGAGTGCATGGATGAAAAATACTGATACAGATTATGAAGATATGCACTGGATAAACATACTGGATACATGGTGTCACAAAGCACTTACAGCACAGCTATATTGACTTTCACCCCAAAAAGCCTCTTAAAATGCTGACTACTAACGGAACATTCATCAGCTAAATTTTAAACTAAATATCTGGGTTCTCCTCTCCTTTTAAAAGAGGAACAAAGTGAAGAATAGTGAATCTTTGGATTTTTCAGACATTTTCCCGAAGCCAACCAAACAAAGGTTTATTGAAACCTCTCTCTCCATCAGAAGCCTTCTCCATCATTTCACAGTATTTCAGCACTGCCTGCAAAAGATCTCCCACCTTCCAATCTCTTTCACGGAGTCTTTTTGAAAGCTAAAGGGGGGAAAAAAAAGTTTATTAGCTTAAAGAAGTAAATGGTTTGACTGACTGACATTTATAAAAATTCTCTGTGAAACATCAGGTCATATTAGAAGACCAGCTGTGAAGAGTTAAATATTAATCCACAGTTATAAAAACAAAACTTCCTCAATGATCATGCATTTTTCCTTTAGCCAGCTTCCATAAAAATTTCTTCTCTGGGGAGTGACAATTTTCAAGTGATATAGTCCCACAGCTATGTATTCTGTGGTTCAAAGCTGTAGGAAACAGGAAATTCTGAATGCAATATTAATACATTTGCCACTACCCCAAAAATATACATGTAATAGACAAAAAAAATCAGACTTAATAGAAGGATGTGGATTTTCCTTACACAATATATGTATAGTGTGGTTTGGTTAGTATATGCACTACTCTACCCTCAACGGAAATGCTGAACTCCATAGTTAGAAAATTTCAGTTTCTTAAAAAAAGTATTAGTTAAACCTCCACTTGCAAGCAGAAGTTAGTGTGGTTGGCAGCAACTTTTTCCCTTAGTAGGTCACAGCAAGGAAATTTCCTCATCTACTACTCTGAGTTATATACAGTAGAGGCCCATCAGTACCCTAAGACAGTTAAAATTCATACTATTATCACCGAGTATAAGAACCTTTCAGTTTTGCACCTTTTGAGTCTATTCCATCATTATGCCAATTGTTTTCTGCCCATTTAGCACATCCATACTTGCTTGAGAACTGAAGGCTGTTGATTCCAGCTTGAATCCCCTACCCAACAAATATTCTAAGTTTGGATTAAGAGGAAACACATTTAAACAGGGAGAACACTCTTTAATGCACTGAAGTCAGTGAATTCTACTATGTAACATTTCTACAGAATTTCAAAAGAAACAAAACCAATAAGGTTCTATAGAAATTATTCTTAAAACCAAAAGAACTTTATCACTTCTATAGTCTTATTATATCCTATGCTACAGATTTTCTCCTGCTGGGATGTACCTTTCTATTTAATACTATAACATTGCCAGAGTTATTGTATTCAATTCTATTTCTATTAAAAACTCTGCAGGATATCTCTGTAAAGCATGTCACCCTTTTGAAAGTACTTTTGAAAATAAACACTAGCATGCTGGAGGATGGTTTCACTGTTTTCAGTCAGAACGGAGTACAACCTGAAGTAAGGCAGTGATGGGGCTACTTGCTATGTAAGATAGCAATTTACATGTACGACTACATACAGAGTATGTACAGATAAACAGTAACAGTATTACTTCTCTTATGGAAGAATGCCAGAAGGGACGTCAGGTGGTCAACTAGTTCAAGCCCCTCCCCTGTTTAGTTCAGAAACTTCTCTGTTTAAACTCAGTCAAATGTTTGTCTAACCTGAACTTCAAACCTTACAATGACAATGACTGCACAGCCTAACTAGGTAATCTGTTCCAGTGCTTAACTGTCTTCACTGTTAAAAAGTTCTTCTTAACCAAATTAAAATTTCCCTTCCTGCTATTTAAGCCCATTATTATTTCTTGCTCTGTTCCCTGTGGACAGCAAACAAATAACTACAGTCCTCTTTTTTACAATCCCATTTTTATCTGATGACTTATCAGATCTTCCTCAGTCTTATTTTCTCGAAAGTAAATAACAATAGCTCTTTCAATTGTACTTTTAGGTCATGTTTTCTAGCTCCATAATATTTTTTGTTTCTTTCCTTTGGACTCTTTCATTTGTGATGCCCAAAACTGGACACAATTCTCCAGCTGCGATCCTACCAGTGTGGAACTGTACTGTCATCGCTCCCTGTGCTTCCATGTAACAACCTATTAATATATCCAAAGATGCTTTTTCTTTTTTTTGCAAAATGCACTGTACACTCATATTCACTGTACAGTCCACTATAACCCTCCCATCCTCCTTTCCTGCAGTACTATAACCTAACCAATCATTGTTTAATTTTTATTTTGCATTTGATTTAAAATCATGATCATTTTGAACTCTAATACTGTCCTCCAAAGGGTCTTAGGCTTGGGTGACATCTGCAGATTTAACTGCACACAATTTTATTCTTGAAATAACTGCACAGTTATGTGACAACCTAATACTAGGCTACTTTTCAGCAAAAAATGCATGCATTATGTGCGCACAAGCAGAAACACCCACGAACATATATCAGTAAACAGACTGAGCTATACAAATCATCCAGGCATCAGATATAAACAAACCCAGGTTTAAAACAATATATAAACATTTCATAAAGATTCGAGAAATAAGGATGCTTATTTCTCTTAATCTAAATATGTTTGGCTGATGTCCTTTAACTCAAATATTTTTTACTGCTTAAATTAAATATATTCTAAACTCTTGTCAATTTCTGTAAATCAGAAAGTAGAAAAAGTCAAAATATAATCATACAAAGATGTGCAACCATGGCATCTGGCTCTTGTGGTCTCATGTCAGTTCAGGGTTCAAAGACCAATCCCATATTTTCTTCATCAGACTAGTCCATTTCCTACTGCCAGAAGACTAATATTTGAATTTACTCAAATAGAAACTTAAATGTTTTAAATGGCCGGATGGAAGCCAAGACGCCTACAGTAGCTAGTTGGCTCAGTTCTGCTCCTTTGAGTCAGCAGCTATAATTAATTTTCTCTTATAAAATACCTGTCATCTTTTAAGAACTATTTACATTGCTTTATTGCTGCTCATAACTCCAGCTACGCTATTTTTTAAAAATCCTGTCTTCTTCAGACATCTCATGCTTGTTTCTGCATTTGAAAAAATCAGTAGCAAGACAACAGATTATTAATTGAGTTTACGGAAAAGGGAATATATAATAGTTGTATAAGTGTGCGTGAACAGGAAGAGTCAATCATGTTAACTTCAAGCATTTCATTAGAGCTATGACAAGACATGGGTTTAGTGTCCTACCAGGCCTAAAGGCCTTTCCCATTCAAGTGTAAGCAATGTCTTTGATAATTTTGTTCAGTGATGAGAACTTCGACTTGTGTGTCTGGTCTTCACTAGATGAACTAGCATTAGGTTAAGATGGTGCATCTCTTGTGGACTAATAATTTCTAAAACTAGTTCAGATTAAGACCTAATGTAATTTTTTTAATTAATATTCTTTTTCTCCAACCATTCATATCCATTCAATCAGGCTTCATAATGGAGTTGTTCTGTCCTCTTGATGACAAGAATTTTCAATTCCAATATACTGGCTTCAATTCCAATATATGTGGCTGTTACTTCATAGATATTTCATTTTATATACCAGGATTCAAATTACAGCCAGTGGGAGAGTGCTTTTCAAGATCAAAAAACTTAAACGCCTGAATAATGATTTGGAAGCATAATTTCATTAACTCGTTTTTGAAAATTCTGGTTTGTCTGCCCACAATATCAATCCCCTAAATAACAGTTTGTAAAAACAAACTTTCTTTCTTTCTTAGTAGGACTAAGTGCAATGTACATTTCAAAAATGTATTTTTAAGTAATTTTTTGAAAGAAAAAACCCACATTATTCAAAACAAACTCTTTGAGTGACTAGCAACTGTTTATTTTGTTTATACAGTATCTATGGGGTGAGGCCTGGTTCCTTGACAGGCCTACAAATTAGGTAACTTACGTGCAAGTGACTTGTAACATTTTGTAAATTAGATGGTTTTTAACTTCACTGAAACCAATGGAGTTACTACAGGAGTGAATCAAGTCTTCCAGTAAGAGTAATGGGGTCAATTCCAGAACCTGACTTGTATACCAATTAGACACACTCTCATTTCCTATCTGAATTTATTTGCAGCCAGTTTGCACCCACTTATTCTAGTGTCAACATTACCCTTATGTTTAAATATCTCATCTCCCTCCTCCTGATGTATTTTTAGAACTATTATAATATACTAAACTTGTAGTGTACGAAGCTAAGCAAGCTCAGTTCTCTTACTCTCCTCTAAGACAGGTTCTCCTGATCATCCTTGAGGAATTTCTCTAAACCAGTTCTGGTCTGAATTCACTTTCTGCAACATGAGACAACAGAACTGTAAATAAAATCCATGATGCTTTATCAGTGTACAGTGACATTCACACTATCACTACTGCTATTAGCGCACCTGATACACCCAAGATTTGTATTTGCCTTTTGCATAGCCACATTTTACTGGTCACACACCAGGTTTTTCTCCTTTGTCATATTTAGATTTCAGTTTTTGCTACAAATTGTGTTATGACTTTGATCTTGTTAGACTTTGCACTTGGTAGTAGTAAAGACCATTTCATTTCTGTTATTTCAATCTTCAATCATCCAATTCAAAATAAGCAAATTCTTAAGAGTTTGCAAAAACTGTTGATTCTCCAAAATTTTACTCTGGTGATAATTTTCAATCCTAGTTCACAGATTACAAAATCTATAAACAGAAATATCTCTTGAGTACTTTCTGTTCTATACCATATTATTCAAACTGCAACAGAATACTCTGAAAATTATGCTACCTAGTTTCAGGCCACAGGAAAATGGGGAGTTCCTGAGCCTGATGACATAATTATTATAGCTGTGGTTTGATGATTAAGTATAAACCACACAAGGTACAGGAAAAAGGTTGCAAATTTATGACAGATGGTCTGCATTGCTTTTCTCTCTCTTCCCTGTATCTGACTTCCGTTTTCTACTTCATTTGATTTTACTCAACATGTTACTATACATACACGACATCTTTTTACCTTTCGCAGTTCAAAAAGGAAGAAAAGCAGTATTTCCACCCAATCCAAAACAACATACCAGAAAAGCTTAATCAATACACAATATCCCGTTTCATCTCATCAGTCAGTTCATATTTTAATGCTTTTTAGACTGTGTGATCACATGGATAAGTCAATGACTTTTTACTTTTTAAATTAAGACACTAACACAAAACAAACATTCGCCAATCTACCCAGGAATAATTCTACTGTGTTCTGGACTCCTTTGAATTGGTACATATAGATTTATCCCACTAAAACTTTAGAAAATCTGTTCTTTCCCCAACTTGCATATTCTGAAATACAGAACTGCTTTGACTGTTTTAAAATTCCAGAATACTCAACGACTCACTCTCTCATATTTCTCCTAGAAACTAAAAAGAGGCTTATGCTTTCTCAGGTAATATGTACCCTCTCACAAACTATGTTGCCATTAACATTCATCTTAGCAAAATCTTAAAAGGCAATTAACTTCTTTCTTATATGGCAAGATCTAAACTGGAACACATGGCAAGCCATCCTTCTTACTAGCCTTACCACCTAGAAACAAAAACACCCATGCTTCTTTTTAATCAGCATCTTTTTAGCACAGTAATTTAAGATTGTAGTTGCACTTCCCAAACTTGATAAAAAGCACTATATCCCAAAGGTGGTGGTCAGCAGTAGCAGATTTTTTAGAAAGGTTATGCAAATAGATTTTAAATTATAATCTGCTGTTTTATTCAGGAAGAGGAATGATTTTACTATTTTTTCTGAATGCAGGGATGCAAAGTTTTAATTTTTATTGCGACACCACCTCTCTCCATGCTGCAGCTCTGGCAGAAGAGGTTTTGCCAGCTAATGATCAGGTGTTTCTAGTTTACAATTATATCTACGTACTTACTTCCTTTCAAAACATATAGACTATTAATATCCTTAGTTATCATATATTCAAGAGAGTCTCTCACTTGCATGACAACCTCTTAGGTGAGATTTACAGTCATCTCACAAACAGATTTTTAAAGATTACCTTCCTTCTAGCCAGGCAGCTTCTCTGAGATGCGAGATGCCTCTGTGGCCGTGTCCAGACAAGTGAGCATGTGCCTGTTGCGGCATCTCAAAGCAGTTTGAAACACTGCAAGAGGCACACTAGGAATTAAAGAATGTTCCCCACACTGCATGTTTGCAGTGAGGAGTCTAAATTTGATACCAGGAAATCCCAATATAAAAAACATGCTGGAAAAAGGCAGCGCAAGGCGCACTCCTGAAGCATACCCAGAGGCAACTGGAGGCTGGGTCCTTCAAGGCGACAGTGGCACCCATATGGCTGCCCCATACCCCTGCTGCTTCAGCATGCTGCCTCAGTGTGCTGGGGCAAATAGGAGCAAGACAAGGCTGCAGCAGCAGCTTGGACCCCAGCTCTGTCCCCAGTAAACAGGGACATGGTGTGGGGGGTAGGAATGGGACTGTGAGGCTAGAAGGAACTGCTCAGGAGGGGTGGGTCCCCCACCCACTCCCCACACAGCGCACATCCCCCCCCCCCACCCCACCCCCAGCAGCAGCAGCAGCCGCCATTGCAGTGTTCTTGGCCCGCTGTTGGCAGAGACCCCTGGCTGTGCGGCACCACCTCAGACCTGGTAGCTACACATGGCACTGGCCCAACTGCTGGTGCACACCGTCAAACAGCACCAGGTCGGCCTGGCCCGATGGCGCATGGGGCACATGGAGGCAGGACCCAACCCAGCTTGAGGGCACGTGGCCCCTGCGTGCAGTGCCAGGAGCTGCAGATGATACAAGAGCAGCCCGATTTTGCCCAAAAGGTTGGGCCAGCACCACGTGCCGGTGCCAGGTCTGAGGCGGTGCTGTGCCGCCAGGGGTCTCTATCAACAGCCACGAGCATCCTGACAGCCACTGCTGATGCTGTGGGGGAGCTGTGTGCTGTGCAGGGGGTGGGCAGGGGGTGGGCAGGGGACCCACCCTGCTCAAGCAGTCCCTCCACCCCAAGACAGTCCTTCCACACCCACAACTCCCCGCCACAGTCCACCAGCAAGCCCCACACAGCTAAACCACTCACACAAACCCTCCACTCACATTCCCACCCACAAACTCTCCCTACAATCCACCCACAGACCCCACACCCCCAAAACCTCTGCACAAGCCTCCCCCCACAAACCACTCACACCCCTTCTCCCCCAAGCCCCACAGCCCACCCAAAGCTCACACCATGCATGCCCACCCACCAGATGGGACAGGACCTGCTGGCGGGAGCCACAGAAACAGGAGCAACTACCACACTGCAGCCCTGCCACATGCCCACACCAGTGCTGGGATGTGGCCCCAGCCTGGGGTGGCTCCTGGTCCCAGGAACCACTTGGGGGGGGGGGGGTGATGGGCTGGGGGGAGGCAGGGAGGTGGCAGAAGGGATGTATGTGCAACAGACAGACAGACAGACAGACAGACAGACGGGTCAGGCATTGGGGAGAGCTCTGTGTAGGAGAGCCCACCAAAGCTAGGGTAAGAGCCCCCCTGCCTCCTAGAGGAGCCTGTGTAGGGGGAGGCTGGCCTGGAAGGGAAAGGGCTTGCCCAACTCAGTCCCTGAGCCCCAGTCCAGGGCTTCCCAGAAATGGCACAGGGACTGCTGGGGCCTGGGCACAGGCACAGGAAGCAGAACAATAAGGGCTGGCACTGCTCAGAGCCACAAAGCAGCCAGTGGGAGAGCTGCAGTTTGACTCATGTCCTGGTGCTGGGACAGAGTTGCAGCAGGCAGGGGGTGCAGGTCAGGAGTGAAGGGCACTGGCGGGGCTGTGGGTTGAGGGTGAGGGGCAAGGGTAGGGATAGGGTGCCAGCAGATCAGTGCTGCTTAGCAACCCACATTCTAGTGACAGAAGGGAGCAGGGGCAGCTCTGATTTTTCTGTAATAAAAAAACCAAAAGCAAACACCAAAGTGTATAGATATTTAGAATTCATTTTATTATGATGATAGAGGCACTGGTAGGCTTCCAAACTGCTTTAAAATTCTAAATATATCAATGAAACATTGCCCAACTAATCTATCTATATATAGTTGCATTTCATTTTAATCATGGAATAACATGTTACCAGGGCAAGTGACAGGGCCCATGCAGAGAAGCCTGCCCAGGGCCAATATTGGGGACCCAGCTGGAGGGCAGATGAAGTGGCTGACATCCTGGCTATCTGGGGCCAGGAGGACTCGCTTCAACAGTTCAAAGTGGGGCACAGCAACGAGCACATCTTCTGGGCGATAGCTGCCCAGATGGCAGAGACGAGACACCAGAAGACAACAGCAGTGCCGCCCAAAGGCCAGCTGTGCAGCTACATCCCACTAGCAGCTGGCCCAGAGGCTCTGCTGCAGTGCCCATACCACAGCCCAGGCAGCCATGTGGTCTCTACCTGGGTCTGGCAGTTTTGCAGCCATGGCCCACAGGTTCAAGGGGGCAGATGCTGTTGCAAATGGCAGCAGGCCCCATTCAAGCAGCAGCCCCCACTGCCAGACTACTGAAGTGGGTAGAGGGTGGCAAGAGCCATTCTAGGTTAGGGCTGTTTCAGTAGTCCAGCTGGCACAAGGAGCTAGTGTCCCCAAATACCAACTAGCCAGGACTCAGAAGCTCTTGAGGGCAAAGTAGCCCTGAGCTGCTTGCCAGGGCAGATTTTTATACTGCTGGGGGCAACACAGGTTTTTACACTGCTGGGGCTAGCCTCTAGCTCCCCCTGGCTCCAGATCTGGAAGGAGCTGGGCAGGGTCAATTTGCCTCAAGTGGCACAGCTTGCCCCACACCAAAGTGTATGTTCAGGCACACATGCCAAGGCACAAATCTCTGGCACAAGTTTGTGCCGCTGCAACTGCACATGCCCCGTCTGTCAGATGACAAATCAGCAATTACTTGACTAGCTAATACTAGTCTGATTATAAACTACAAACCTACATTCACATCAAGTATCAGGGTTCTTATAAATAAAAATGGTAAGACTCAATATAGCCTAACATTGTCTGTGAACACAGGTGAAACACTACCGTAATAAATCTAATACAGGACATATCTATGCACAACACCCTACAAAACCCCAGCCCATGCCTGCCTCTCCATGGATTCATAACACCTGTCCACAGTGGAAGGATCTCCAGAACAGTCTCCATTACAATAATTTAGCACAACACAAAAAAGACATTAAAATCACCTAAAGCTGCTTAGGCTCTTTCCAATTTTTTTTCCTTCTTTGTCACTACATAATACATAATGTACAAACACAGAATTAAAAAACGGTTTAGGTCAGAATAATTTATTTCATTATTACTATTTCCTATTCAATCTATTTCCTTAATACTACTGTCTGTAATTTTATCTGGAATTAAAAGACACATAAATATCAAGTTTAATTACAAGTTAAACTTTTTTTTTTTTTTTTTTTTTTTTTACAGCAAACTTCATGTACTAGCGTAGTAAAACATGTAGAAGTATTACATTAGCTTAGGGGTTCTCAAACTGTGGGTTGTGACCCCCCGGGGGGTCAGAAGCAACTTAAAAGGGGGCTGCAAACTTTCCAGGGGGTATGTGCGGTGGCCTGGAGAAGCAGCACATGGAGGCAGCTGCTGTGTGTGAGCTCCCCATTCCCCACCGCCGCCATCCAGCACTCAGGGTCGTGGAATCCTGAAGTTTGAGAACCCCTGAATTAACTAGTTAAACTTATCAGGTGAATAACTCCAATGCAAGTTTACTTGTGACACCAAGATATTGGTTATTATAATGGTTAATTTACTGTTAACTGTGAAGAGTAAAACTTAAAAAACAGTTTCTTCACTGAAAGGTGTCAGCTTCTTTGATACAGCCTAAGAAAATAGCATGTGAAAAAGTCATTAAAATATATGGATAACTGGGTTTAGAACAGCTAGGCACATAGCATTAATGCCATTATTTTTACATTACATACAGAAACTAAGAGACTGTTTTGTTTTATTTTCTGTAGGGTTATAATAATGATGAAGTAACATTGCTCAATACCACATACTTTACCATTAATATATAAAGCAAACAGCAGAAATACCTGTTAAACATCAGAATAAATTTAATCACACTTTATAGCTTTATACTCACAAACATGAGCTCCTTCATAGCAGTATCATGAAAATGAAGTTCAGCGACCCCTGCTTCAGAAGCTGCCAGCCACTGAAGTGTCATTCTGAGCTGGGGGTCCACCATACTTGGTTCCATGTCAATGTTCACTATTAGCAATGTCTTTCCTACATCCTCCAAACCTAATATTAAAAATTAAAATGTAAAACAATGGATTCCTAACTTTTTCAAAAGAATTATTGTAGCTCACTCAATATTTGAGAAAATTACACAATATGAACATTAGTCATTATAAGAAACACTTTGGGAATTAGAAAATACACTGTTCTGAAATCTTCCATCTTTCTATACAGGTCAAGGGAAAAGGGCACCAATAGCTAAATAGCTTGTGGCTGAACTGAAGCATATCTGAACAGAAGGATCTTTAATCTGAATTTAAAGATTCCAAGTGATGGAGAACTTACTACATCCCTTGCTAAATCCCAGAGTAATTAGCCCTATTTAAAACTTTACATTTTATTTTTAGTGTGAAATTTATTAACTTCAATTTCCAACCACTAGCTGTTGTTATAACTTTGTTTCATGAAATAACTCTGCTCATATAACTTCTGCCTGTTCAGGTTGAAGACTATGATCAAGCACCCTCCTAATCTTTTATTTAAAATGGTAATTAGGTTAAGCCACTTTCATTTCTCTAAGGCATGCATTTCCAGACCTCAGATCATACTAGCTGCTGATTTTCAATATTCTTTCTAAAGAACAGATATGAGAAGTGGGCAAAGTATGTCAAGCAATGGTTATACTAACGCCAGAACCAGAGGCAATGTCACCTTTTGACTGATACCAATGCATCCAAATATGCTAGCTCTTTTTGCCATGGCAACACGAAGAGAAAGTTTAGTTATCCGTGATTAATCAAGTCAGTCTTTTTAGGAATTACTGCTTTCCAGTAGAGATCCCCATTCTTCAAGTATGACATAAGTTCTTTGTTTTTTTTATATACAGTTATTTGTATTAAATATCTGCATTAAAGTATACATCTATCTAGCAACTCGTCCATGAAACATTCATATACTTTTATGTAATATAACTGACTGTAATTTGCACCAAGCTTTCGGGGCCAATGGAACAAAGAGTGAATGTAGGTATGCATCTGACAAAGAACCAAAGAGAATTTGGCTTATGTCCCAGAGCCTGATAAGCCATAGAAGAAAAAGAACTATTTCAGAAAATCCATAACATTTACTGGATTGAAAGGGATCGACTTGCACAATAATTCCATGATTTTTGGTTTCCTATGCTTAGGGACATACCTAAATTGAGGCAGCAGCCCACTGATTTCACAGGCAAAACACAGCGCCCAGCAGCCACTTTGTCGGTGGAGCATGACACCACCCTTCCCCCCCCCCCCCCCCCCCCCCCCCCCCCCCCCC